AAGAAAGTTGATTATTACGATTCTGATTAGCAGGAGCAGAAGTGGCCAAGTAGGATGAAAACTCATCTTTTTCTATTTGAACTTAAAAACAATATTGTGGATTAACTGTAATTGTTTAAACAACACTTGATAATGACGAATTGAGTGGTGTAAATTGCATTTTGAAGAAATGACTCTTTTTGGTGGGCATCTTCTAGTAATATCGCATTTGAATGGAGGGAGAAATTATACTTGAGATAGATGTACTGATATTCCATCCCTGCAAATAGGACAACAGCTAGGTGGCTTCCTTTTTGTCTCTAATTACTAGGATCTATGAACATTGCCATTACTTGCCTATTGGTTCAGCTTTCATCTATTTAAGTTTGGTTTTTCCTCCTTTTTTTAAAACATCAAATGCGCTCGGCAGCGTACATGATACTTGTGTTACTTTCTAACAATCCTCTGACGCACTTCTCTTTGGTGTTGTATGCGCTTCACGCACGAAGATATCAGAAACATGGAAAACGAGGTTCAGGCCTTAGAGGAGCTATCAAAGCAGCTTTTCTTGGAAATTTATGAGCTTCGCCAAGCTAAGGTTCATATTGAACTGTCTTATGCTGTACTTCTTTTTACTCCTCCGCCTCGTTAAAAAATGATCTAGTATGACCAATGTGATTGTTAAGAGTGTAATGTATGAATAAATTATCATATTGATTTGGTAGAAGAAGGTTAAAACTATAGTTTGAAGTGTGAAAAGTTGGAGTAGTTGTTCTGTAGATATAACATCAATGTTTGAAATAATGAGAAGTAGTTTCGAGTTACCTTCTCAAAAAAAGTAGTATCGAGCTATATTAATTTGAATTCACTAAAAAATAGTTACTCCCTCCGTTTCAATTTGTGGCGTAATTTGACTAGAGTGAGAATTTAAGAAGAAAGAAAGACTTTTGGAACTTGTGGTGTTGAACATGCCATGAGATTTTTGTGGCTATAAAAGCATGCTATTAAGGATAAAATGAGACATTTAAAGCTAAATTATTTCCAAATATAGAAATGTGCGGGAGGGAGTATCTTAATTTGAATTGTTGGAAAGGGTGGAAAAACATAAAGAAATATTAAGTGTTTTTGGGGAACATCGAATGAAGAAAGTAAGTCATTACCGCTCTTGATGGTGTGGCCTAATGGTCAGTAAAGCGGATAAAACTAAGGTTCAAATACCAATAGAGATGCAAGAACACCAGATGATTTTTTTTCATCTGCCTAAGCCTTGGTGGGCAGAGTTACCTGGTGCTTATACTTGTCTGAGGTAACAGGTAACTGACGGAATAGTCGAGGTGCATGCAAGCTAGCCCAGACACCACCATTTTCCTATCGTTGAAATAGAGGGAGTGCAAAATTGCTACTTCATTCCCTCTGAAATTTTACGTATCAGACACTCCTGTGCAATATAAGTTTTCTGATGCTGAACTCAGTGTTCTTGAGGTTGGAAACTTGTGCTTCCACTAGTATCACTCCTTGGCTTCTCTTTCTCAGAAAATCGCAGCCGGCTCACTTTCTTACTAACAGTTGAGACTTTTATTGATATCAAACAGAGTACCACTCTGGAAGAATGGCACACCTCTTCTCTGGTTAAAATATTTTCTGCCCAGATGGTTTGAGCAAATTATGCAACCAAGAAACACCTTTACTCAACCCCCCCCCCCCCCCCAAGCTTTGCTATTAGGGCTTGTGACCTTTATTGTCAGCTTATGAAATTCGTTTTCCATTTGACTTCTTAGAATTCAAGTTTTCATGTTGCTATTTTTGTTGTTTTTACCGTATGAGAACATCAAAATATTCCTTTGTTTGTCTGCAAGCTCATAATTTTATGGTCCCTCTTCTTCTACAGCTCGTATTATCAAATTACTTTCATTTATTATTTAAATCAATTGGTTTGGAACTACTTACTTTGTATTCAGCTGATTAAATTAGTCCATCACGTCAGGAAGCTGCTGCTTATTCTCGAACATGGAAGGGTCACTTGCAGAATCTTTTGGGCTATGTGTGTTCTGTGTATTGTGTGTATAAAATGATAAAGGTATGAGAATAACGTTAAATTTGGTAAATTTAAGTACCTCTCACATGATGTCTACTCTTTTCCTGTTCATATGACAGGCCTATATTAATGTTAGCAGGAAACTTGATTGATGTACTTATTGTTGATTGACACTACTGCACAAACTTTTATGGTCTTCTTCATTTTCTATATCATATTAATACTTTCACATGGACGCTACAAAGTTTGTTCATATTGTGGATTTGCTGCACTGCACATAGGTCTTTCTATGATCTTTCATGTTGCTTTCACCCCTTCCAAGTTCTGCTTGTTATTGTTTGAGCCAGATTGCTAATTGACCAATTTAACTTTTGCAGTCTCTTCAAAGTGTTGTTTTCAAAGAGGTATGCTTCTAAACTAGAATTTAATCTTCTTAATGATTACTTCTCTTTATATAACTAATAGCTGAATCCTTGCATTTGACAAGCATATCATTATTTGACAGGCCGGTTCTGTCGATCCTGTGACAAGGACAATCAGCATATTTTTACAGTTCTTTGACATAGGAATAAATGTCAACTTATTATCACAGGTTCGTCTACTTCTGCATTATTTCATTTACTCATGGTATTCATGGTTATGGTGCTACTTGGATGATTAGCCTATCATCTGAGTGGAGCTATTATTTCGTTAATACATTTAGGAGATGAACCTTCAGAGACGAGGTTTGGAAGCTAGCTTCTAAATACTTGCATGAAATTGAGAGTAATTGGGTAGAAGATGAAAGTGCTTGAAGAAGGTGGCTTTTTATGTTACCTATAGCAAAACCACTGAAGGGAAACAAGATCAAGATTCTTGAGTTTGAAAAAGTGAAAGTTGAGAAGCTAATTCAACACATAACGGATGAGTAAGCACATTAAAAATTTCTAAGAATTAAATAAGATGTGGCATCTAAAATAACCTCATCGATAATAACGCAATCTTTAACAGTATACTATTGTATTTTAATATAAAGTCGAGGTTATCTTTACTACCCGAGTGAAATCAATTTTTTTTTTAAGAGTGAAATTAATTGTATATCATTTAATAGGGAACAGTGTTATGTTGGATAGGTGAAGGGGTCACTCATCACTGGTTGTATGAGTGACATTGTAAGCTTTAGGTGCTCATTCTGAGGCTCTTTCTTAGTAGTTTATTGTTTCTGCTAGTATTTCGTCTTTTATTTTCTGGACAGGAGTTATCTGACCATTGCTCCCTTGTGCAGTACATCTCTCTCCTGTTCATTGGGGTGTTGATTGTGGTATCTGTGAGGGGCTTCCTGACTAACTTGATGAAGGTAAATTTATGCTTGATAGTCTTTTTTCAAAGTTTGCTGGATGTCATCATTTATGGTTTATGAATCTAGAAATCTGTCCATCTTGTTTACGTTGTTTTAGTATATCGGTTGCTTTCAGATAACAATATAATTTCAATTTTTTTAAGGTTTAATCTTAAACATTTCTTCATGAGTAAATCCTCCAATTTGGTTGCACATGTACCTGCACAGATAGAATCAAGGAAACTACTTGACATCCTTTAACTGTTTGGAAATGAAAACTCAGCTTTTTATTGACTCGAGTATCCTTCAGCTAACTTGAAGCATTTTGGTATGTGCCCAGTTCTTCTTTGCCGTTTCCAGAGTTGGAAGTGGATCATCAAGTAATGTGGTGCTTTTTCTCTCTGAAATCATGGGAATGTATTTCCTGTCGTCCATTCTTTTGATTAGAAAGAGCCTGGCAACTGAATATCGGTATGGTTACTAATAAGCTTTTTATTTTGAATATCTGTTACTGAAGATCTTGTTTTATAATGATCAATGCTTTAAACTAATCAAACCCGGTTTCCTAACATGAATTGTTTTCTTCTCAATGCGACTTGCTGAGTGGTTTGCAAGAAAGAAACTTGAAAAATGGTTGGTGTGGGTAACTATGGCTATAACGTTGGAACTGACCATTTTGCGGACATGGGAAAATGATATTAAGCTAGTACCTTAGTCGATTTTGATACATGATCTGACATTGAAAAATTTTATCTGCACTTGATGTTTACACTATGCCCTAACCTAATTTATGTTGGCAGGATAATCATAACGGATGTATTAGGTGGAGACATACAGTTTGATTTCTATCACAGGTGGTTTGATGCAATATTTGTTGCAAGTGCTTTCTTATCTCTGCTTTTGCTATCTGCACACTATACAGCTCGAAAGGCCGATAACAAGCACCCAATTGATTAAAACATTTTCCTCAGTGAAGAGGCAATTTTTACTTTTAGGCCACAAGGAATTACCACTATTCTTTGTAATGTTGTATCGTTGATATAGTAGAAATTTTTGCATGATCAAAGCCCTCTGGTTTACATCTATTTGATATCTTCCAGAATTCAAGTTGACAACCCAAACTGTTCCTCCCCCCCCCCTTTTTTTTTTCCTTTTGGAAAATTAAAGTACGCAATTTTAGTTATAAATCAAGTTATGCTCTGTGAAGAAAGTAGTATACCATGTATTGCACATTGCAATTAGTTCATACTTCCAATGCGCGCCAAAAGAGGATTAAACGTCAAACTAGCCACCACTAGAACTGGAAGCGTTTTGCAAAGTGAAAACTAAGTTTATGAAATGCTCAAGATTACACTGGATATATTGTTGTTGTTTGTCAAGACTCAAAATTATGCTAGTAGGGTGGTAAGGTTTAATCAGTATAATGCGGGAGAATAACTATAAGATCTCATGGATTAAGTTTTAAAGGAGATAAATAATAATAGTGAGTGACTTTAACCTGCAATTATGCAATTAAAGAAAAACGTGTCAAACGTTACGCGTAGCATGGACAGAATCCATTAGGGAACTAAATTTATTCACCAATAAAGTAGGAAGAATTCTAGTACAACTAAAACTGAAAGAGTTCGTTACTTCTTTCCTAGTACTACTAGTATATATATTGTCCAATTAATGTTCTCTCATTGGTCAATCATCAAATATTCTCTCTTAAACCTGTTTTGTTCAATCCATTCACTTCTTCCTTCGATTTTGAAGGTAAATAAAAAAGCAACCATATATCCAATACATACTGTTTTTGGCTCTAATTGATGAAATTGAGAGATGGGAATTGGGTCATTGTCAAGAATGGCAGTAACAGTGGCTCTAGTACTGTTGTTGGGGCTGTGTTGGGAGAAGGGAATTCATGCAATTAGATTTGTAATAGACAGAGAAGGATGTTTGTCTCAGAATGTAGAATACGAAGGAGACACTGTTCAACTCTCCTTCGTTGTTATCAAAGCTAACACTCCCTGGCATTATGCTACTGACACTTTGGTGGATCTTGTGGTAATCTCTTCCCTTCTTGAAATTCTGAATTAGTTGAGATGTGTTTATAACTTCTATTTGTTGTCTGTTTTTCCATGGAATCCATATCTTTTCTGTTAATAAAAAGGGCAGTCCGGTGCACTAAGCTCGCACTCTGCGCGGGGCCGGACCATTAGGGTCTATTGTACGTAAACTTACCCTGTATTTCTGCAGGAGGTTGTTTCCACGGCTCGAGCCCTGACCTCCTGGTCACATGGCAGCAACTTTACCAGTTACGCCAATGCTCCCCTTCATAACTTATAAAAATATATTGAGAAAAATCGATTCTTGTTTCTGTGATATATATATATATGTCGTGCGTATTCTGTGATTTATCTTGCCTATTGTTGTTGCTGCTTCCTTTTGCATCTTTTCTTGTGCCGAGGGTCTATCATAAACAGTCTCTCTACCCTCACAAGGTAAGGGTAAGGTCTACTGTTGCGGAAGCCAAATGTATATAGTGTGAATGAGTCATAATTACTATACCAAAAATTATGACAACCACTAAATAATAAACAAGACAATAAGACAACAATAAAAGAACACCAGAATTTACGAGGTTCGGCCAATTTTGCCTACTTCCTCGGACACAATCAATATTTTATTCCACTCCAAAATTACAAGTGAAATAATACTAAAGAGAGAAGATACAAATGCCTTAAGAAGATAAAAGGCAAATGAGAAGTGTACTTAAATCCTAAACATTAGACCTCCTTTTATAGGGTGAAATTCCCATTCAAAATTGTCATCCACCGATGTGGGACTTTTGACAATTTCAACA